AAAAAAAAAACGGAAAAATCATCTTTCTCATTTTCTTTCCCCCACGATAAGTGAATGATGAAGGAACTTTGGAAAATAGATCGATTGCTTGTAAATCTATATAGAAGGTCTTTGTGTTTAGTTATGACTTTATCACCGTGTTAATTTTTAAATCACATATATGACTTTTGGCTCAGTTAACATAGCTGATTAAACATGTCCTTAAATAAAATAAGGACTTATTTAAAATTAAAAAAAAAACAAATATAATTAAAATTAATTTTTATTTCAGTTTTCTATTTACTTAATGTCTTTTAAAATAATTTTTAAAAATATAATCATCAAATAATATTCTTAAAAATATGTTATAATTTATCTCTAAATTAAAAAAAAAATCTATCCTCTGTCCATCTGCAGGACATTATCTTGTGAAATTTCTCCAATAAGAGAAAAATGATGGAGTTGTGCTTTTTTTCCACCCAATCTAAACTTCTTTTCATTTGCATTTAGATATACACAGGTGATGACACGTAGTACTTCTCTTATCCAATCAAGTCACGTCATCACCATCTAAACTCAAAATACAGATATATAAACATAAATTTCTTTTTCTAATCATTACTCCAATACAAGAAAATCACGTATTATCGATGGATATTTATCGACTGAAATCATCGATGAAAATTATTTGTAAAATTTGATGTTACCGACGAATATATCCGTTGGTAAAATAATAATTAGTTACCGACGGATATATCCGTCGATAAATCCGTCGGTAATTTATAGATGAATTTACTCGACGGATATATCCGTCGGTAAATTCATATATAAATTAAAAATTATTTACCGACCGGATAAATCCGTCGGTAAAATTATATAATATAATTTAATTATTCACTAATTAAAAAATAAAATATTTTTTATTTAATAATTTAATTTAATCATAATTAGATTAATTTATAATAATTTATTAAATTAAGTAATTTTAAAAATAAATATTTAATTATATATAAATATATATAAATATATATATATATATATATAAATATATATATAAATATATAAAAATATAAAAATATAAAAATATATATAAATGTATATAAATGTATATAAATGTATATAAATATATATAAATATATATAAATGTATTTGTATATTTGTATATAAATATAATTTATTTGTAAATTGTTATCAAGAAATTCTAGTAGGCTTAGTGGTTGGAGTATCGACCTTTGACTCTAAGGTACTTGGGTTTGAATCCTGCCAATGACATTTTTCTTAATTTGACAATAATTCAAAGTTATAAAAATATAATATGTAGAAATAATTAAGAATATAAGGGGGAGGGGTTCTATAAAAAAAATAATGTTATAAATAAGTAAAATATTTAATAATTAATAAAATTATTTCGACGGATTTTTAGTAGTCGAATTCCGTCGGTAATATTCATTTACCGACGGATTTTTGTTATTACTGACGGATTTTGACCGTCGGTAATTTTAATATTTCTTGTAGTGCTCATAAATAACATCATTTAATCTGAATCAATTTTGCGAAAAAAAACAACAACTTATATATCATTTTTTTCAATACATAAATGCCTATCATTAAAATCTTATATCTTATTTTTCTACCTTAAATGTGTCAAGTTTGTTTTGTATCCAAACTTTACATTAATAGTTGAAGGATCAAAATTATTTTTTGGCACTTGTTTTTCTAATTAAAATGGATGTTTCATCTTGTTAATTATCAGCAAATAAATATTTATATTTATAATAAAACATTTATGATGAATAATGGAAGTTTCTAGTATTGAATGATTTTTATTTATTGTTAATTCTATTTCAATTTAAAATACACATAAAATACATGGAAACTTATTAATTTAATAGCTAACTAATTTGAAATTTTGTTTAATTTACCTTTTTGGGTGAAAGTCTCACAATAATGTAAAAATATATAAAATAAACTTACGATTGGTATTGTTTAGTTATTTTTTAAAAATAATTTGTAATTTTATAATTTTTAAAATTAAAAATCAAATGATAAAATATATTTTTTTATTTTGATTTATAATATTTACATTTTTAATAATAATTGTAGTATATTTAACTTTATCATCATAAATTTATTAGAATTATTTTTTAATTTTTGTTACCACTTTTTCATCACCATATTATTTTTTAAGCGAATAATTTACTTAATAATAAAGTAAAAATTAAAAAATTATAATAATATTTAAAATTAATTTCAATTTGAATTATCAATTTTCTAATTAATAATTATTTTATTTTTCTTCTGAGAAAAAAAAAGTAAAAACACTGAAACAAAATGTATTGTATTATCGGTTTGGTCTGACTCACGAGAATCCAGCTACCCCTCTCACGTGTTCCTTTCTTCCTCTCGTTGTTTTTCAGCCTGCGTAATATCAAACTATAATCCTACGACGCTGCACGTTTCTTCACAACCATACAACACATGATGGTCGGTGGTTTGGTTGATGCGAAGCTACAGCTGTGATCAAACTCCACACTAGCTCAGCTTGTTACAACACAGCAATGAGAAGAGATTGTTGTTTCTTTATTTACCCGCTTTAATGGCAAGACTCAAAACTACGCATGCTATTATTAGAAATGAGGCTAGGGCTGTGTTAATAAAATGTATACATACATAATATACATATTTCCAAGTGTTATTAAATTTTACTTTGAATATAATTGTCCATTATTAATTTGCAAAAGGGTAGTTGGCTTCTGGGAATAGCCGGCCATCAGAGACGTGTTCTGGCTTGTGCTGCATAGTAATCTCAAAGTAAATCTTCTTTTTCCATTGCACGTTATGCTATAGATCTCCTGGTTCCCCAGAAAGAACTAAGCTACAACAAGACAAGCAGAGAAATGGTTGATCACGACCGTTAAAGTCCTGTTATAGATTGGTATCTTTGCAGTTATAAGGGTTTTCACAATCGTACTTTCTTCCATATGTCAGACTCAAATATAGAAACAGACGTCAAGCAGACTGGATTGAATTGAAATCAGTTCTTCCTCTATCTCTATCTCTTTTCTTTTTCTTTTTCTCCCTTTCTTTCTTTTTCAATAGTTGTGGAGCAAAAGAAACTAAGGTGTCTGTGTTAGTGTGTAGTCTATTCTGTTGGTACTTGTATCATTCTATGATTTTCTACTTTAAAATTTTAAAGCAAAAATAACATAATCTATGAGTTCAATAAATTAATCACCTTTCCAATTGTAACTGAACAAGACTTTTCAAGGGGTTGTACCACTTTTACTCAATCTGCTGTCAATTAAGTGGCATAAAAGGGTTGTGGTAGAGGCGGGCCAGACATATATCATCCATAATGGAGCAGTGCTACTCTGGCCAAAATAAACCACAGGTTCACTGCAATTAACAAAAGCTAATGATGTTAATTAGATAAGGTAGGTTAGAGTTAGAGGCATAGCTATATATATATATATATATATATATATATATATATATATATATATATATATATATATTACACGTGTGAGCTTTTACTGGGGATTCTTCATGGAAAAGTAAGAGAGGTGCAGTTAATCTTTGGTACAAAAGGGACGTATCAAAGAAAGAAATAGACAAGCTGTTGGCAGTGTACAGAGCACCCAGTGCTGTAGTAATGCTGTTGTTATGTTTCCCCAAACTGACTCAGCTCTCTCTTCCCCTTCCTACGTACCTTCCTCTCTACTCCTACTGCCCCTATCATTTGTTGCTCTAGCTGGTTCCAATTGTAGCTTAAATATATATATATATATATATATATATATATATATATATATATATTATATATTTGTATTTTTCAATAGGTCATGTACCAATTTATTAATTACTATATCCCTTACTTTTCATTCTTCATTTATGGATAGCCTCATTTTATGCATTGTTTGCCTCCATTATTTTATCACTTAACTGCTGATGAAAGAAGGAAGTAGCACTTGGTTGCAGGCTCCACGGGTGGTTAATGGTATGTTCAAGGACAATAACCAGAGGGTTTAAATTACTTAAGAAATATTGGTTACTTACACTTAATTGTTAAGAGAAATATATGCATGCCTCAATGTTATTCATCCATATGGAAATGTATTGATGTACCTGCTTTTTTGGTACATTTATACGTGCTGCTTACGAAATCAGTTGCAAGAACATTTAATTTTCAAGAGTAAAGTCAACATAATGTTGGTCTTTGTGGCTAGGAATTTTACAATAGTAGACAAACACAAGTGTCAAAATCCACGCATATACAACTTAAAAGAGAAAGAAAAGACCTGCAAGTATGACGAAAAAGTTTGTTAAACATGTCCCAACTGAGAAGGGAAAGTTATGTTTTCTTATTACGCAATACAAAGTAATTATACTGGCGCTAATATTTGGACATTAATTTGCAGTATCGCATGATTAAACTTGATTACCCTTATTGTCGTTCCTAAAACCCCGATACACGTCTTCCATCATTATTTAATAACCATTTTAAAGGATATGTTCTCAGTCTAGCTAATAGTTTTGTTGTAGTAGGATAGTGGATCACTCATACTGACACAACTGTTTTGGATCATCTTCCTCCCCTCTCCCCACTTCCTTTCTCTCTCTATCTCTAGTATATATATATATATTACCTTACCGACTGTATATTCTAGTGACATCTGTGTCCCTCTCTCTCTCTCTTCCATACAATTATGTGTATAGAGACACGGCTTGCTTTATTCCTTTAGATCTGAAAAAGACCAGTTACCCAACCTCATACATCATTTTACTAATTCCCAATCACCCTCTTTGATGAGGATCACAGGTGCCCATCAAAGGCACAAGAACCTCCTTCCTTCCACTTCTCTTCCTTATGCATGAAATCATTCAATTGGTGAGTATGTTTGCCTCTGCAAAAGGAAACTGAAAACTGAACCCAACTAGCTTTCCCATCCCACAATGCCAAAAATCAAACCTCATTAATTTTCTCTCACCTTTAACCCCCTCTCCCAGTCCCCACTTTTACCATGTCACCCGATGACACGCCACCTTCGAAGCCCGGCACAACAGCAACAACAGACCAAGAAACTCAAAGTTCCGGTGGCAGAAAAGGCTCCTCCACAAGGCCCCAAGAGCAAGGCCTGAAGTGTCCACGATGCGACTCACCGAACACAAAATTCTGCTACTACAATAACTACAGCCTCACACAGCCAAGGCATTTCTGCAAGACATGTAGAAGATACTGGACAAAAGGTGGTGCGTTGCGTAACGTCCCTATTGGCGGTGGATGCAGGAAGAACAAGAAAGTCAAATCATCAAGGCTTTCATGTGACTCCAAAGACTCTGGTTCCTCCTCTTCAGACCTTGGTGGCCTCAAGTTCCTCCATGCTCTTTCTCCTTCCATGGACTTTCAACTTGGAGGGTTACCCTTCCCTAGGCTTCATCACCCTCCAGCAACTTATAATCACTTCTCCTCTTTTGGGGACACTTCTAGCGCCTCTTCCTGTTTCAACCTTGACCCTTCTCCTGGCAACACCTCAAGTTCTTTCGCTGCTCTTAATTACCCCTTCTCTTATAATGGTGCAATCCAAGGTATGAGCTCTATGAATGTTCACAGTTGTCACGCTTCTTCCATTGAGTCTTTGAGTTCCATAAACCAGGACTTGCACTGGAAGCTGCAGCAGCAGCGATTGGCAATGTTATTTGGTGGAGATAACAGCCAGAAAGATCATAGTGGTAGTGGTGGGGTGTCATCAACGCTTAACCAGCTTGAGAACCAGACACAGAAACCACAACCCATTTTGTTTCAGAATCTTGAGGTTTCAAAGCCAGGGATTTTCCCTGTTGGGAACTCTAGAAAAGAACATGGTCCAAGTGGGGACACACACACCCCCTCCACTGAATGGTTCTTTGGGAATTCTTTTGCCTCGGTTACTCCTACTCCTACTGCTGCCACTAGTGGTGGCCCAGGGAATGATAATGCAAGCAATTGGAGTAGCGGTGTCCATGCTTGGGGTGATGTGCCGCAGCAATATAGTGCTTTGCCCTAGCTAGCTAGATGTGAAAGCACGAGGGAGGATAAAGAGGACTAAGAGGTAGAGTGGTTGATCTTTTCTTTATAACTTTTGGAAGAATTTAATAGGCCAACTCTGATAATTAATTGTCTTAAACTCCTTTAGGTATATGGTAGTTCATTATGTCAGTTACTCTTTGTTCTTTACATTTCGCTTCAAAGGAACATATATGTAACAAATGGGAAAATTGAGACCATAATGTGTTCATATACTCTCCAATTTCAGCTAGATGTTCATCAATAGTCTAAATTCTTACTTTCTTGATTAATATGCATGCTACCTTGTGCCCTTCATTGCTTTAGTTCACTATGGCAGATTGGAGTCTAGCTTTTTTTTTTTCTTCTGTTTTAATATCTACGTTCTCATTTAGTTATTAGTTTTTTTTTTTTTGTGATGTGTTAAGTTCAGATGGAAAGCACAATAAACGAGACTTGTAGTGTTTCAGTTAAAGAACACTAAGTGAGACATTAAGATGTGAACGGATACGGTGATTTAATTTCTGAACCATTGGTTGATGTTTCCTTTCTTGAACTCTGATTATGTTTGAACATAAAACTTCAATATAGATATTAAAAAATAAGTTTCTCTTTTAAGTTAAAATGAACTATTTTTTTTTTTCAAAAATTAAATAAACGCATATATATTATGAGATAAGTTTAGTTCATTCTATTTTCTTTTTCTTTTTATAAGCATAGATGGATTTTTTTTAAGGTAAAACATTTACATAAATAACTATGTTCATACAAGTTTTTCCGTAAGAACTTGTAAAAGATAAGAAATGTAAAAAATAAAATAAAAGATGAAGTTATTTTTTTATAAATTAAAATTAGTTTATATATAAATAAAAATAAAATTTAGAAGGATATAATCATTCATAAGTTAATTCTATCTTATAGATAAGTGTCATTGGGATTTATATATAATTGCATATATCAAATGTGCTTCAAGGGCTAGCGTATAGTTGGTAATTGTTTTGAACTAGACCTATTATGGCGTTCTAAACTAAGTTTGGGTAATTGAAAAGCTTGTTAATGTTACCGTTTCCCTGAATGTGTCATTGGGATCTGTGAAGGAATTATTTTGGCTGGTTGTGATTTAAAAATGAGGAAGAATTGAATGTGATATCTTTGATTTGTTTTACGTTGGTTTGATATCCAAAACAAAAAACTCATACAGCATCACAGCATCAGAGTGTGTCCCTCTCTGTGTCTATCAGAGAACTGAGTCTCAGGCTCTTCAGCTACTGATCAACGATACACAAGCAGTGGCTGGCCGTAGCTTTCGCTGCTTGGCCTCTCCTTAGCCCTGCACTGCACTATCAACCCTTATAGCCATGTTCTCTCTCTCTCTCTCTTCGAAAATCTCATATGTGCTGCTAAGACTATTCGTAATTATTGTGGCAGTGTGGTGTGATTTGGTGGTGTCTGAAAAAGTGGTGATTTGAAAGTGAATTGAATGAAACACTGTCAACGTTTGAATAATAAGAGACACAAAAATATGGTATCTTAAGCTTAGGGTTCCATATTTTTTGGTGCATAATATAAAAATATAAAAGTTATATTGTTAGCTTTTTGGAGTGTTGGAGAGTGAGCCCTCTCATCCGTGCTATTTGCCACTGAGCATCAACTCTCATTGCTACATACTGTATCATGTACAGACAGAGAGAGAAAGCATAGCACTGAGCATTGCTTTTCTTGCTTGCTTCTCGTCTTTATTCCTCACTTTCACTGTTTGCGCGAAAAATCTCAGATCCCACAATTGCACAAAAGATTACCACTATATGCTCTTTCCATACCTTTATCCCACTCATCCTAGCTAAAGAAATATATCAAATGTGTGTGCATGCAATCTTCCATGGTTATATATACATAAGAAACTTATTCAGTGATATGTGCTAATGTGTCTCATATACAGAAATTAAGTACAGCCCGCAATTCTTATAAGTTATATATGCAAGCCCTTCCCCAACAAAACTATATTAAGTAGGGTGTTCAAAATTAGTAATGAATATTAATCCGGGTAATTTTGGAAGAAATATGATTAGGGCTACTTTTTCTTCCGTTGGTACAAATAAATCTCACATAAGATACATTCTCTTTAATTTCAAATGAATCCATCATTATGTGCATGAAGCAGGGAAGTGTTTGTCATTTTTGTCCACGTAAACCATAAACTCTCTTTCTAAATATTTGTTTATATCTATGTGGGTTCTATAACTCATGAGTCACGGCAAGAGAGGTAGAGAATCGGAAAAGGGATTGGGGTGATGACTTGGAAAATGAAGAACAAGAAGGTGCGTGATTAACGTGATAAAGTTGGACAAACTCTTTTCGGACTGCTCTATGTGGCACACTGTCATTTTACACAACTTACAAGTGCAAGAAGCTCATGACAAACATATTTATCCATATACTTCTCATCATTTCCTTATCCTACACCCTAATCAAACGTTTGACCCCACCACACACCATCATTCATCACTCCATAGTTTCTCTCCACAAGTTTGTTTCACAACCACTTACTTTTATTTATATATATCCATCAAGCAATCAAATATATTAAATATTTGTAGTTGAGTTATTTAGGATGTCAAGATATTAACTCTCTAAATCATATTTAAAAAAGACTAAGAATTTTGTGTAATTTATATATAGAACCAATTACTCATGTGGAAGGGTTAATTTATTTTCCTGGTAAAAAGAATTATCTAACACCGTCTCTTTTCTTTGTTGTATAACTTTTGTGTAAAATTGAATTGTACCATTGTACAATTTATTTAATATGAATGATTTTCATGAGTACAATGTAATACAAGTTTGTGGAATGTCTCGTGACCCACTTAAATAGTCCACTTGTAGGGTTTATCCCTAATTATTTTGTGGTTGTCATTGTTTGAATCTTTTGGTATTTAAAAGTATTAATAAGTTCTAATAATATATTTTTTATTCACAAAACTCAAATATTAAATTTATATAAGGAAAATAATTTTGTTATCACTTTAGTTATAATATTCGGAATGTGTTTCTCTTTCCTATTCCAAATTCTCTTTCTTATTCTAAATATTTATATTGTCTTTACTACTATATATTTATTGTAAAGTACATCAAGTAAAGTTTTTTCTATTCTTATCTAATAAAAGAACATTATGTAGGCTATGTTTATTTATTTTTATTTTATTTATTTGCAAAATCGATAAACTTCCTTCGTTTTTTTTAATCATTTTTCACATTTTATTACTATGATTTGGTTACTATTTTCTTAGAAAAAATGGTAAACTTCATAATTATTGAACAATAGAGGGTCAAAATTTTATATAAATTTAATGCCTTAGTGATAATTATACCTTCTAATATAAATAATAACTTTCCTATACTAATTGTTTGTTGCTCCTGTTAATTTTTTCATCCCTTCCACTGTTTCTCTCTCGGCAGTGTGGTTGTTCTCTCCAACATGTTCACTCTCTCCGACATCGTGCTCTTTCTCTCCAACTGCGTGCGTGTGTTCTTGTTGTCTCCTAGTAGTGTGTCCTCATTGTTGCGTTCTTACTCTTTTTTGGCAACATGTCCTTTGCTCTTGCGTTCTCGCTCATTCTCAATAGTGTGTTGATCTTTCCCTCTCTTGTTTTCTCTTACATTTTTTTTATGAGTTCTCTCTCCTTCTCTCATCCAAGGGATTTCAGGTTAGTTTTTCATGTTATCTAAATTTAGGTTTTGTGCATCATTATTGGCTTGGAACGGATAAACATGATATAATAATGTTCGATGTTATATGAATTGAAAACTCTAATATGTCTTGATATATAATTTATATAGTATTCATGATACCCGCTAGAAATGGAAGAGTAACGACTTTTTTGTGAGAATCTGAATGCAAGTAGCTAACTCCAATAGACAAGTACATGGAAAAGTACGACTCTTTGGTGACCTATACTTATAGCAACCCAATAGACATGTACCTCACTCCACATGGGTTACAAAATATCTTTGAACCAAATGGTTAGCCTCCAATATCGGTTGTCTGAGCCAAGTTATGGATCACCTCCTTAGCATTGGTTGTTGACCATTACTACATTTTTATGCTTACAGCCCCTAAAACTTTTCGTGCTATCATAATGTCCTTCTCCACCACTTCTCCATGTACTTTGGCCATTTCTTACTCCTCCTTTGGCTTAGGCATAATGAGTTCATTGTCAATCAACCAATAAGCTTGTTAAGAAGAAGAGTATCAAAATTCAAGCCTTCTAATATTAGTTTAGGTTATTATTTTTTATCTATTATTAAGATTGCTTTATATTTTGTCATCGTAATGTTAATGTTTTTAATTTGCAACAAAATTCTTTTAGGATAATATGGTTGGTAAAAGGAACCGCTACGACGAAAAAGAATTATGTGTACATGTTGAATTATTTGCAAACATACCAAAATTATCAATTGCAATATAGTATTTCAATTAAATAAAAGTCGATCCCACGAGAAACGATTTCAATAGAAATTCTCAATTATATGCTTAATAAGTAAATTAAACAAAGTGGGTTTTGCATAAAGAACTGTAAATTGTTTAGAAAAAATCAATTAAAGACACTTAGGATTGATTTCCTTCCTTATCTCTCTTTTGTAATTACTATATTAATTAAGAACATCAATTAACCTAACAATGTTGATGTCACCTACATAATTCATCCATGTTGCTTTCTCACACATGAAATTCATAAGAAAACCTAATAAATATTGATTTCACACACAATTAAGAGATTTTTCAGCATTAAGGTTAGAGTGTTAAACAATTGATACATTCATTCTATTCCTGACAATTAATGTAACAAATATTCTTATCGGGATCTAGGGTTCAAGATATATTTGTTAATCATACCCCAAACATCAAGAATAAATCATTCCAAAACACAAAAGATAAGAATAAGAACATCAAAACATATATTAATATCTCAAAATATCACCATGATACAAAAGAGTTCAAAG